AGTAGTTATAATGTTACTAAGATCTGTTTAATATTTATCTAGGCACTGATCAACAACTTAATAGTGAAAGCTATATATTATTTAAGTTCAATATACACAAAATAACATTTATTTACTAAGGTTTGTTGTAATATAATAAATGGTGAAAAAACATATGATACTATTGCTTTAAAGATATCAAAAGCAGAAATGTATCAAAATAAACTGTTTCAAATTTATCTAGACATGGTGTATCTCAGCATTGCACACAAAGTCACCATTTGCTTTGTTGCTTTTGTGTTGTTGAATAATGTCAAACACTGTCTGGCATTGTTTCTATTAAGCCTTGCAATTATTCAGGCTTCAACTTCATCCCAAGCATCAGCAATTGTAGCTTTGAGTTCAATGATGATTTGAAAACATATCCCAAAAATTTTCCATGGGGTTTTGGTCTAAACTTCTGGCAGGCCACTCTATAACTTTATATAATTGTCTTTGAACCATGATTTTGTAGACTTTGAGTTGTGTATAGATGCTTTGTACTGCTGGAAAGCCAATTTGGCCACAAATGATGAGTTCAGCTTCCACTAAATAATCATAGAGCCTGTTTTTATAATCCTCTGAATTCAGGTTCTCAGTTATAAATGCTAAAGTCAAGAGCATCTTATACCATCACTGACTGATCTGCCACCCTCCTGCCTCTTTGAAAACATCTGTTGACTGTTTTCTTAAAACATGCCAGTAATAGGCCCAACTATCTGGGCCATTCACATTAAACTTTATCTCACCACTAAATGGTATTTCAATCCATTCATTACTTCAGCTCATGCATTTGTGTACCTAGTTAAGCCTTTGTTTGTGTTGGGTATTAAGTGGTGGTCTAGTAGATTTTTTTCTATTATATTTTAGATTAGACAATTTATACAGAGCCCTCTATACAGTTATTTGGCTAGAAGATGAAGCGTAATTCCTTCATTTTTTTTGTTGTTGTTGCTTTTTTGGCACAGCTCAACATTATTTGTCTGCATGTCAGTTTAGGTTTGGATTCAATCTTCCTTTTTATGTCCTTTCTCTGTTGTTTTTATAAGTAATCACCTATAGTTAATTTTGGTCTGTTAACAAGTGCAGCAATTTCTCTTACTGATTTTCCTGCTAATTTATAAGCATCAGTTCATCCTTATTCATAAGGAGATAAATTACTACCTTCTTAAATGCAATGGCTTTAAATTAAATACACTCAAAAAAAATCAAAAATCCAACAGTTTATAACTTTAACTTTTACTTTCTAAATAAAAATGAATGCTTTTGGTTATTTGAAAACTGCTATCTTCAGGTTTTTATTTTAAAAATTCAAATATAACATGTGCAGTTGAATGTCAAGTTCAAATTCTTTAAAATGCCATCTGATTGATGTTGTATGGTTAACATGCCCAAAGCTCTGTAACATTATCTGATGTTATCTGATTTCATATAGGGTTCTCCAGACCATAGATAGGGTATCGTTGTCCCTATAATTGATGGCCATTTTATTTTTGTTGGCCTTGAAAATCTCCAATTTTTCTAAATATTTCAGAATGAAAGATTTTCTTGAGTAATGAAATAGTTTTGTCTGGTCTGTGTGGGCGAGTATTTCTGAATTGTCTTCACAAGGCAGCTAACACCATTTTGTGTTGCACCTTTGTGATCAATGCATGATGTTCCTGTAGGTGTTGAACTTTAGCTATACAGCTCCCAATCAGATGGCATTTAAAAAAATTTAAACTTAATATTTGATTGCACAATATGTTTGAATTTGTGTTGTTGTTATCGAAACCGTGTTGTTGTTTATGTATTGTATACTGACACGATGAAGTGACCGTTTAACCAACACTTGGCAAGTTTTCCATCTTTATTTAGTTAGAATGTTTGAATTTTTTAACCTGAAGTTGGTTGTTTTAAAATGACTGAAAATGTTCATTTTTATTTAGAAAGTAAAAGTTAAGGTTGTAAAACTATATGCTCATATATGATGCCAAATATATTATAAGGAAGTGATCTGATGATGACATAGTTTGTCTCAAAAACCTTTTTTATCAGAAGTAAAAAGAAAAACATTATAAGACTGCTTAAAAATTATTAGCAGTTAACACTGTTTACTTATATGAGTAAGATTTTTAAAAATTATTTTAAATGTTAAAATGTAAGAAAGAAATCTAGAACCATGAGTTAACAACATTAAAAATTAATACAAAAGAAATTATTAGAAATTGTTAAAACATATAATTTAGTTATTTTAAACAATATTTATACCTGAAGTGGCTCATAATTTTAGAAGCTACATATTATTAGACAATTTTGCATTTTATTTAATTAATTTACAATCTTAAATGTCATATTACTTTTACATTATTCTATCTAATGTAATAATGTCTGTTTCACATTAGGTTGTTTCAAATGAAATAGCCAATTTTTACTTCTGACTTTGAATGTTTATTAATTTAATTTAAAACTTACATATTCAATCAAAATTGTCTCCACTAACATTAACATACTTTTCCCAATGCAATAGAAATGCATTAATTTAATGCCAATTTGATAGAAGAAACAAAAAAAAAGCCAAATTCATTAAAGATACTTTTTATTGTGTTCTCTTTTTTGAAAACTTTCCTTGCCAAAAAAACTCCAAGCATGTAAAAAGTGATAGTCTGTTAGCAAAACGTCTGGAGAATAAGGTGGATGGGGAAGAATTTCATTAGAATACTTTTATTTTTGTGATGAATAATTAAAGAATGCAGACTTCCAAATGATGCTTATTATCTCTCTCATTGAGTTTGTGTAGTACCCATTTGTCAAGCATTTTTAACTTTCCCTAACATGTTTAGATGTTGCAAAATGGTTGAATAATGTCCTTTATGTTCAACTTTTCCATGATTTTCTGGACAGTCAGGTAATGTTATGATTTAATGATATTCTTCAATTCTGATTTTTGAAATTTATATTCCCAGAATGAGATTTTTTTGAACCAGTGATGGCCTGCTCACTCACAGAACTTTTACCAAAAGTTTTATTGGTATTTCGGGTTGCTTTGGTGCATTATGTTCTTGCTTATACTATTAAAAGGAAATTGAATAATTTCCTTTTTTCCATGCCATCAGAAAAAGTACTCTTAAACATGTGGAACTCACAATATAAATGAGATTACATTTTTAAATTCACATATTATGTGTGTGGTCTTCCAAATGCAAACATAGAGCACTGTTCACATGGAAAAAAGTTGAACTACAAAGCCAGAAAGTTTAAATTTTAAAAAAGAATCATTTCATTTGCAATGACCCAATATTTATCCAAATGTACATCAACGGCAACTTACAAAAACAATGCATGTTTAAATTAAATGTACACAAAACAACATTTATTTACTAAGGCTTTACATAATACAATAAATGCCGAAAAAACATATGGCACTGTTGCTTTACAAATATCAGATATAGAAATGTATCAAAATAAACAATTTCAAATTTATCTGGATAGTTATTATTTTCCACAGTATAAATTAAAATATGTTAATATTAGATAAGTAATATTCAAATTAAGAGAAACCATCCTATGATGTAAGGATGTGTATGAACTGCAGTTTTAAAATTGGAGAAATCAAAATATTTATCTCTATTAAATACACTCAAAAAATCACAAATAGAGCAGTTTATAATAATAACTTTGTAAGGAAGAAATTGTATTGTCTTTCAGCATTAGATTTTATAAATCTAATGCTGAAAATAATTTGTTAAAATAACTAAATTATGTGTTTTAACAATTTCTAATAGTTTCTTTTGTATTAATTTGTAATGTTGTTAAACTCATGGTTCTAGGTTTCTTTCTTACTTTTTAACATCTAAAATAATTTTTAAGCAGTCTTACGATTTTTTTCTTTTTACTTCTGATAAAATGAATAGTTTCATACGACTGCTTTAGAACACTGAAAACATATTCCAATTAGAATAAAATAGATGTCTGATGATAAGACAGTTTGTCTCGAAAAACATTTTATTGCAAATAAAAGAAAAAAAGGGAAAGCACTTTTAAAATTATTATTGTATGTGCTGTAATGCTCTATGTATTAACCTGTTCATTTGATGTTTATCAATGTATTTGTTATTTTATTTAAATTGTATAAGCTTAAGAATCCAAAATTTTATTACGATAGAAGAGGGCTAAATCCTAATGCAGTGCCTTTAATGGCTGGTCAAATGAAGAAAAACATAAATTTAAACCTTTAAGATACTTCTGTATACCAAAATTGTGGTCCAAAAAATTATTTGACATCCTATGGTGTCATAAGAACACGAGCAAAGCTTGAAATTTTAAATCTTATGTTATAATTAACGTTCAAAATTATGTTAAACCTGAGGAAGGCTATTTAAAATAGCTGAAAACATTGGTTTGTTTAATTAAAATTTGCAGGAAAAAGTGAGGAAGGTGTTTTGTAAAATTAAAAATTATTAGTGATTAAGATTAATTGTAAAATGGAGTCAGAAAATGAGTCTAAAACTTATTTACCTTCTGAAGATGACAATTCAGAATCCTTAAATAAACTTTGAAATTTGAAGTAAACTAACTGGCTTCAAATTTTTTTATATTACAATCAATTTTTATTCAAAAAAAAGTAAATTTACAGCCTTAAAATATAAAATAAAAATAATACAAAAATTTTACACTGTCCACCTAGATAGATATCAGATGTGCAGTATAAAATTTTATGTAAGACATGATGATAACATAAATTTTTAAATTAAAAATAGTGTTTAAATCATGCTGAGTTAAATTTCCAAAATAAAAATAAACACTATCAATTAAACAGAAGATTATAAATAAAAGGTCTCATAATTTCATTTAGTATAATAATATGGTAGGAAATGTATTACAGCATATTATTTGAATTTTTATTATTTATTTTAATAAATTATTATTACTTTTATTTTTCAGTTTTAATATATTATGTTGTATTAGTTAAAAAGCTTATAAAAAATATATTTCTTAAACAGCACTTCAGAAAGCAGGGAAGAATATGGAGCATAGTGTTATAGGATCATATATAGCACTTCTGCTAGGTTGTGTTATACAAAATAATCAGGTAAATTCAGATTTCTTCTAATTTTATTTTTATCATAAATGATTCAGATTTGATAATAAAAAATGAATACAGAGAATTCTTGATCTATCATTCCTGTATCAGTTGTTTTCTCCAGTCCAAATAAAGACCCATATATCAATACATATATGTATGTGAATATATATATATATGAATGTGGAAGCGTGTGTCATGGACATGTCTGAACATTGATCGCTAGCGAGGCGGATCTGCTCAGTTAGTGTCTACCCCAACACAAGGCTTTCATGTACTTCTAGGCTCTCCTGTTGCCGCCTGTCGCACAGTCAAGAGCTGATCCGTCCTTCAAAATTTTCGTTCTCCGACTTCGGTCGGAAACGGGCTGGGTATATTCGGCACTTTCTCCTGTAGTTACTACCTAAAATGGGGGGGTGTAGCTAGCATATATATATGAATGTCGAGTTGAAATACTATTTTTGTAAAAATAAAAGTACATCAAATTTAACAGTTAAACCGTTTGACTAAAACTAACCAGTTTTTATTGTGATTTTTTGCTACTTTTTGTCTACTGGTTTACAAAATACTGTACTGTACTTTGTTGGTGACATTTCCTCTTAAAGCCTGGCAACACTTCATACTTTTCAAGATTGCTAACTGTTATACTTTTAGATCTACTGATAAAATGCTCAAATTGATGTGAAAAGAAAATTTGTGCACAGAAATGTTCTGTTGACATGCCATTGTACTGCTTGTACAAAATATAATAAAATGTATTAATGTATTATCTATGAAGTAGTTTTTATCTAGTGAACTTTCTAGAATTGAAACTTTTTTGGCATAGGAAGTCATGACCACTCAAGGAGTGGACTAAAAATTTTAGAGTCACAAAAATTTGGAAAAACTAAGGTTTATGCATATGAAATAAGTACGGTTTATAAAGGAATGTGTTACATATTTGTTTATGTTTGTTATATTAAAATTGTATGAAAAAACATAAATTTTAGCTTCTGCCCATTCAGAGATTTGTTTTGCATCATATATTATAAGAGTGTGTCATGAAAACCTCACTGTAAAATGGGGTGTAAAAATTTTTTGTTGTAAGAAGGGATTGCAGATAAAAAGTTTATAAGATTCTGACATAGGGTGAACCTTGTTAATATTTCTACAGATAAAGAGTGTAATTATAAAGGATTGAGATGGACGTATGATAATTTTAAGTGAAATATAATAATTTTAAGGGGCAGATACAATGAATTTCTCTTGTAAGGTTGGCAACCTTTAATTGTCTGAAGTAGGGAATATCATGTCTGGACAAGTGAGAAAAGTCAGAACCCTTTTTGTAAGAGAATCAACACATCATAAGTAACAAAAATTTATAATTTCACTAACATTTTTGACACTTCTACCGTATCATCATCAAGTGCAAGAAAAAAGTATTCTTACAAAGGAAAATAGACAAATTTCAGTATTCTTAATGATTTTTAAAATGTAAAATATACGAATGTCTATGCACATGTTCCATATCATTTAGTATTACATAATACCATCATATATATAAGCCTATCACTGGAAAATACACATTTTTCATATGAGATAAACAATAAAAACATCAACATCAAAAATTTCCCGTTTCAGTTGTTTCCTGCATCAGATGTTTTTCCCCCAAGTCCCACTAAAAATGATAGATCGAGAATCCACTGTATTTTTATTTATTAATCAGACATTTTTCTCTTGAATAAAAAAATTTGTTAAAGTATAGGTGCTGTTGATAATTTTTAACTGATAGTTGTGTGTTCAGTAATTATTTAGGTGTTACATATCATATTTAAAAGCTTCATAACAACAATTAAATATTTATTTATCATTGCATGAAATATAAAATTCATACATTATATTAATATGATTAATCAAAAATTAAAATAATACAAGTTTTTTAAATTACTGTATATGGCATGTTCAAATGGATCTCATTTGAGGCACTTTTAGCATAGTATATGTGGTGATTCAGTTGGGTAAGTAAATGAAAAGTACATTGTATATTTAGTGGTGGTTATAAGTTTTGTCTATCATAAATACAGTTGAAATATGCTCTATTAATAAGTAAGTGCATAACCCCCTAAAGCAGAACCAGAAGGCTATTATTCAGTTTCATAAGAAGGATGTCAGTCTATGGAAATTCATAGATGGATGCAAGCCATCTATGGTGAAGCAACTGTTTTAAGTAACAACATTAGATTAGCATTCATAATAGAAAGGAATAAATAATTAATATTTTACGACTGGATTAAATTTGTCATTGCAACAGGGGAGAATGTTTGGTAAGTGAATTAAATCATCTTGAGAGAATAGATTTAAAGAACTGACTCTTTTTCATGGAACTGAACATGAATGTTAATATTTTGCATGTATTTATGCAATATACTCTCAGTCACAGATGTAGCTACCATGGAGCAGTTGGAGCAAACTGCTCCAGGTGCACGAATCTTGAGGGTGCTAAGTTAGAACGGGCAAAATAAAAACTTGTAAAAACATTTGTAGAGAAAATTTTTCTGATTTGCCACATTTTCTATAAAATACAGAAAATATTTAAAAAATATGTTTTAGATAAATAAAACTAATTATAAGCACCTAAATATTTTAGTATGCACTTGACTTATCATAATTTTGATTTCAGAAAATACACGTTATAAATTTAACCATTAATTTTGTCATTCATTTTGAGAGTAATAAAACACATTAAAATATGTTTTAATAATCAGTTAAAAGAAATTACTTTTTTAACTTTACAACTGACGATAGCAACAGCAGAATTAAGTTTTTCAAAACTAAAATTAATCAAAACTTATTTAAGAAGCAGCATATCACAACACCGTCTTAGCTGTTTGGCTACTATATCAGCTTTTTGCAGATCAAGTTGACAAGCTATAGTAGCTTGTCAGCTTGATCTGCAAAAAGTGATTGACCAGTTTGCAAAAGAAAAAGTGAGAAAACAATTTTGATGTTTTTCTGTGTATTGTTATGTATTTGTTATGAAACTAAACTTGCATACATTTTGTCAATACAATTTATATAATATGTAGTAAATATTATTTGGTACTTCATACTTACAGAATTGTATTTTGTTTTATTATTATATTTGTATTTATTAAATTGAATATCTTATTGTTGAAATGCTTCGAATCTCAAATAAATTGTTATTAAGTAAGATTTTAAATTGAAATAATTAGATATATGTTTTTAAACTAAATCTTTGAAACAAATTTTGCAAGACCTCTTCTGAGGAACTAGAGGTTTCACTGATTTTACTTGCTCCAAGGTGCTGAATATGTAGCTATGCATTTGCTCTCAGTTATGTAAGTTTGCCGATGTTAAGGGGAATACAGTTTATCTCACATCAGAATGAGCCTAAGGGAAACTGCGTATGTGGGTGGTGGTGAAGGAGGCAAATGAAGCACAATTTTTTTTCAAGAGAAAACCTGTTTATTTGTTTGAATTCATGCTTACATCGATATTGGACAATTCCAAAATCTCGGTGTTCCTATGAAACGGTGAGAGTTCAGGTGATCGGTCGTAGTCCAGGCAGACGAGAAGGATCGTTGGGCAATGCAGATGTTCGGTGTTAAGCTGCGGCGTCCTAGGTGATTGGCGGTGGCACAACACAATAGACAAAGCACAACTGTAGGTATAATCCAGAGGAGACACTCCTTCGACCTTGAAGTTCCAATTTTTATAGTTTTTCCCCCACTATTTGCATTTGGTCCCTTGTCCCATTCCTCGCTTCCCGGTTGGTCTCTCCTTTGTCTCCAGGTGCAAGACGAAACCTTTTCGGGTCGTGGGAAAGGTTGTCCCTCTGATACCTCTTTGTCGACTCTGTTCAGTGACTGTTTATAAAACAATAACACCTGCACTCATAACTCAGGCCGTTGTTTATCATTTTTTTGACGTCTAAGAATTTAACGATCATTTTCATCTTTCATCTATCAAAAAAAATTTTTTTTTTCTTGTTTGAAAAGGTTTATCTCTGCCAACGTTTTATAGACACACGAATCAATGATTTACCTATTTATGAGTGCTCGTGTTAGAGTTTGTCTTCCGCTAAGACCTTGACAGATAGTTTGACACATACTTGAACAGTTCAGAGTTTCATTGTTTACATCTTGTGTCGCGCAAGAATTTCACGGTTTACTCGAGTTTGAACCTAGTCTGGAAACTCAGTTATTCTGTTAGTAGGTTCATGCCAGTTGACAGATACCCACAAAGTGCAATATACAATACTCTTAATGCAATATCATCCCCATCAGAAATCTTTTCAGCTTGGTAAAGAATGTTATCACTAGCAGTGAAACATTTCATCATTTTGAACTCTTAGGTAAGTTGTCATGCCCGCATTGGAAAGGATTCCCAAAACCATAATAAAATAGTCAAGTGTCAATCAACAGTCAGCCAAGTGCCTGTTGATTGTGTTTTGTCGTTGTTTCAAATGATTATTTTCAACTGCTGAAATTTCACTGTCTAAAGACAGCCATTTATGTCTTGGTATTCCACTGCTAAAACTAAATATTTTCAAAGCTTTAACTTGAAAATATTTAAGTTTTATTAAATTGAACTTTTGTAAAAGGCTGTTATAAATTTCTTATTAACTTGAATGATAAAGGAAATCATTTTACTTTTCACTAAATTATTAGTAGACAAATATAAACAGTATCAAGTAAGCTTTTGTTTAGAATTAAATACATCCTTATACTGTATATTATTCATATGATTAAAAATATATATAGGAATAAGCATAGAAAAATGTCATACATAGCTAATAAGAATTAGAGTTTTAATTATTCTATGGGATTTATATTCTGCCAATCATACAAGTCTAATATCATCTCCTGAAAACTGAAAGGGTCACCATAATTTCAGGTACTTACAGCACACTTTGATTTAAAAGTTTATCGTAATTTGTTTATATTCTGATAGTTATATATTTATTTAATACTTTTCTGATTACTTTCATGTCTGTAGTTTTTTGAGAT